AAAATAACTGTCAGACTTTAATCAATCAGAGCCATCGCAGCCTCTTTGGATCCATTCGTTATTCCCACAGTTATTGAATTGATATCCAGGAGAGTTTGCAGATGTAATCACTGCTGGGGTAATTGATTTATAATGGAAGTATGAATGAATCATTATGTGACGGAAACGCCTACATTAAGGTTTTGATTCTATTCAGTGTTTGTGCTCATATCTCTCTCTCCGTCTGCAGGAGCAGATTCAACTGAAGATCACATCCACAGAGTCTGATGTTTGAGGAAATTAAATCAAAGGATCTGATTTCTGTTGCTGGGAAATCAGAGCGTTTATATGTCATGTTGTTTGAGCTGCAGCAGAATAGAAACATCCTCTTTTTACCTCAAACACTAAATATAACACTAGCTTTTTACCACAAATCACAATTACACTTTTAACTAGGGATGGGAACGATTAATCAAATATTGAAAATTATTCAGGTATTCGAATATGAGATTCGATTTTTAGTTTTGGGAGGGGTGCTTAAGTTGATTACATATGATCAAATGGAATAATTCAATGTGTACGACAGTGCCATAGCTAAGTGTGTTAGGTCTAAAGGTGTGTTTAGACCACGCAGACTCAAACCTCATCTTATGCCCAGATGCCAGCTGAGAGGGTCTCCTCTACAGCTGGCCTGATTGTGAATCGCCTCTGCACCCGCCTCTCCCCTGAGTAGACATGCTCATATTCTTAAACAAGAATGAGTATTGAATAACTGCATTCTGTGCATAGGCCTGTTACAAGGTTGATCTCTGTTGTCAAGGGTTACGTTACCACTAACCCGTTATGATGTTCGTGTTTGATCCCTCTTTCATTTAAAAACCAAGTGATGTTTTAAGCATGAACGCTGTAGCCTATAGCTGTCAGCTGTTCAGCCTGTGATCACCAGTTCAATACATTTGACAAATTCGACTTGGTTTCTAAACTTATTTGAACAAGTATTTATTTATTTTTATTTATAGGATATGTACATTTCAGTTAATCGGTTAACCGTTTTTTCTGGGGTAGAATATTTGAATATAAATCAACTTGCTCAGTTATATCAGAGTTTTGTGATTTAGCAACATGCTTTCAAATAAACCTTTATGATCCTTGGTCCTATTTGTAGTTCTGTCAATCTAGTTTTAGTAGTATTTAAGTACTTATATCATGATATATATATGAAGTAGGGCTGCTCAATTAATCGTATTTTTATCGCAATTACGATTATGGCTTGCAACCGATTACGAAAACAACGTAATCGAAATAAAACGATTATCTTTTTATTATTATTACTTTTTTTTCTATTTTTTTACAGTATGTTTATTTATTTATTTATTTTTGGTTTTTCAGTTGAACTTTATTTAAAGTTCAGGGAAATCAACTGTTAAAAACATACTGTTTAAAAAAAATGTCTCCAATAAATGGATGTTTTCAAAGTAAATGGATAATCGTTTTTAATAATCGTGATATCAATTATTGACCCAAATAATCCAGATTATGATTTTTGCCAGAATCGAGCAGCCCTACTGTGAAGTACTGCAGTAGTGTTGTCTCAGCTTCTAAAGGAGCCAAAAAGAGGCTGATTTGATATAAAATGCGTTGTTTGTTGATAAATAGACGTAAAAACCCAAATCTGTAGGAAGATATTAACCAAAATGTGGGTAAAGTCAACTTTTGACTACTTTACTAATGCTTTTGCAAATAAGTGATTCCATTATCTGGTAATGTACAAATTAATTTTCCTGATTACAAAATGTAATGTTTCAGAAAATGTCAAAAAACTGTGAAAATGGGCGTTAATGTTCCCCAGGTCAAAAGTCTCAAATTCAAATAAGTGTATGCATTATTAAATTAGAGTAATAAAAGTAGCAAATATTCACCTTTTTTGCCTAAAGAAATCAACGTTTACATGTTTCGCCAATGCTTTCTCTGTTGATTGACTCAATTCATCGTCTTTTTCTCCACCGTTTTAATCAAGGCTGCAGTGAATACAGATTTCATTATCCATTCATTGTTATATGGAGCATAACATGTCAAACAAGTGAAGGATGTCTATTGCCTAATATAGTTTTGCCCTTCAAAAGCCAAAATGCTTCAGAAAGATGAACTATCACAACTGGTGCCAATGGATTAATGTTAATTTGACCAAATGTCAAGAAATACTCACTTATTATGATATAAAAGGAATAACAGCAGCAAATATTCCCAAAAAACATCAATTAGCGTCCAATTAAAATGTCCAAAAGCCATATTCATGTTTTATGATATAAAAGTAAATTATGCAGCAAATATTACCATTAGATGGTCCAAGAAAAGGTTAAAATGACCATGTCTAGTTTGAATGTCTAACAGCCCATACTATCAATGTATTATAGAAGAGTAATAAAAGCAGCAAATAATCGCAATATATATTCCATAAAAGGTAAAAGGAAAATGCCCCAAGAATCTGACAGTTTTCTAGTTAAAACGTCGAAAGGTCAAACATATATCCATGTAACATCATAAGAAGAATAAAGGAGGAAAGTAGGGCTGAACGACATGTACCAGAACCAATCAGAAGTGGCCCATGATAGAAGGTGATTGACAGATTGATCCATTTTAGCATTTTACAATAAACTTCCGTTGGGTCGCTTAAAAACAAATATCGCAAATCGCAATATCTGTCTGAAAAATCGCAATTAGATTATTTGCAATAAAAGTGTTCCAGTCCAATATCCGAAAGCCAAAGATATACAGTGATAAAGGTAGATACAAATGCCCTCAACTTTCTAGCTGTGAAGTTCTCATATCCAAAAGCCAAAGTATTAAAGTATTATGATATAAGAGGATTAAAAGGCAGCAACGTTACAATATATGGTCCAAAAAAGTGCCAAAAAACGGTGGAAAATGGCCAATAAAAGCTTCCCAGTTGTATAGTTCGGTAGTTTAATGTCCAAAAACCCAAGTAAATGTATATTTTATGATCCATGGTCCATTAAATCAATCAATCAATCAATGTTTATTTATATAGCCCAATATCACAAATGTTACATTTGTCTCAGTGGACTTCACAGTGTGTACAGAATATCAGTATGACAATACGACACCCTCTGTCCTTAGACCCTCTGTCCTTAGACCCTCTGTCCTTAGACCCTCTGTCCTTAGACCCTCACATCGTACAAGGAAAAACTTCCGGAGAAAACCCACAGTTTAAAGGGAAAAATGGGAGAAACCTCGATTTGTAAATCGAAAAGATAATATTCATGTGAAAAGAAAAGCCAAAATGCATATATATTCATGTTTGAGTAATAAAGGCATCAACTATTAACACTATGGTCAATAAAGAGGAATAAAGGCAGCAAATAGTCACATGTTATGGTCCAAAAATAGTCAAAATGGACAAGAGGCTTTTTAGATGTGTAGTTCAGATATCCAAAAGCCCAAAATGTTAGCATGAAATAATCCAAAAAGCGAAAATAATTGTTAAAATTGGCAAAAAAGGTTGAAGTTGTGTAAATAAAATATCTAAAATCCAAATATATTCAAAATATGGCACATAAATATTAACACTATGGTCAATAACATGCCAAACACTGTGTTTACTAGACATTAAAGATATCAGTTGTCTGGTTCAAATGTCCAAAAGCCAAGTATTCTCAAGTATGATGATATAAGAGGAATAAAAGCAGCAACTATTAACGCTATATATATATATATCAATACAAAGCTCAAAAACTGTGAAAATGCCCAATAAAGTTTTCCAGCCCTCTATTTCCAATAACCGAAATCCAAAAATATCAATCACATCTTAAGGTCCATAAAAGGTCAAAGAATCGTCAGAATGGCCAAGAAGTTTCAAGATGTAGTCCAGAAGGTACAGATATGAATGTGCCTGGACGACATTGTAATATAATTAGCAAATGTTATCATGAAGGTTCCAAAAGCCAAATAATTGTTAGAAATTGTGTAGTTTAAATGTCCAACATCCAAATACTCACAATACGGGCCATAAGGGCAGCCAATATTAACCCTATATGGTCAATAACTGTGTTTACTAGCCATCAAAGGAATCCAGTCACATGTCTAAAAGCCCAATATTGTCAATTATTATGATTTAAGAGGAATAAAAACAGCAAGTATTAACACTATATTGTCAATAAAAGGCTGAAAAACAGTGAAAATGCCCATAAAAATGTTCCAGCCCTCTATTTCCAATATCCAAAAGCCAAAAATATGAATGTATTACCATGAAAGAGGAATAAAAACAGCAAATATTCACATTTAAGAGGTCGTAAATCCAGATGTGTTGCTAAACAGTCAACTATCCCGTCTGTTACCATTGAGGTATACATGTGTTATAGGTCATTATTCCGTCATGCATTTCTCTTTCTGGTTTCTCTGCAGCCAGCTCTGAGACAATGATAAAGAATGATGATGTTAAATCTCCATTTAAAACTGTTAGCTGTTTAATGCCATGGCAACTGGTGTCTCCCCCCGCCTCCCCCCCCCCCCCCCCCCCCCCCCCCCCCTCCCATAAGAGACCACCGAGTGTACTGTGGTTATAACAGCTGAATATATAACATAATACCGCTTTGCATGGTTTTAATTCCCTTTACACTGCGGATTTAACCCGACTTTAGTCCCTCTCCCGCAGCAGAGAGCCTGTAGTTTTGCACCCAGTTCCACCCACTGGAAGCACTGGGACTTAAAACGGTCCAAAAAAAACCCACCAGACAGAAAAAAGAGCAGACGTGGAGCAGATCCAGGGGAAAGGGGATTCCCAGGACTTATAAAACCAGTGGGGAAATCCAAAATAAACCTTTTTAAATGCGGATTAATCGTCGTTTTCTTCCACTAAATGTGCTCCACTTTCGCCTTGGAGAAAAGTTGCTGCTCGCTCTTTTGGATCCAGGTGTGGAAAACACTCCCAGGAAACAGAGACAATGTATCCGGGAGAGGAGGCACCGAAACCGGGGAGGAAAACACGGGAAACGGTGGCTTACCTTGCGGGGAATAAGTGTTGTTTAGTCCCATGGAGAGAGCGCAGTTTGGAGCTCCGGAGCTGCTGATGATCACCGAGCCTCCTGGAGGAAAGAGGCCGGGCTCTGAGTGATGTCAGCGGGCAGGGGAGGGGCCTCAGGCCGGGGCATGATGTCACTCCACCGGTTCAAATGGTTCAAATCTCACACAATGCTTACTCAATAAATATACAGATATTCTAGTTATATCTGCAGATTCTAAGGTATTAAAAAACCAATGTGTTTGTTGGAATGATGAAGGAGTATATGTAAACATATTAGTTTTGTATTTAAAAGATAATGCTGTGTATACAAAGTCATGTTTTTATAATGTTAAAATGTACTTGGGTCATTCACATTTCATGTCCCCCATATAAAAAATGTAATAATCCATGCCCAAAATGCTAAAACATGCACTTGTTGTGTTAAACATACTTGTCTTGAGACAAAATGTATATAAAGTTGTAGAAAAAGTGGTTTCAAAATATTATTTAAATGATCAAATAGCTCTCGAACATCCCCTAAAATGGCCTTTTTCTCTTGCTTCTTGGTGAGCAACTTGCGTCAAATATAACATTTAAAATAGGGATTTTATTTACTTTTGTTGGTTATTCTATAGATATATGTCTCTTGTAATGGCAAAATCAATTTGTTAAATCATAAACACATTTTAGATAACAGTAATGTTGCACAGAAGGTGTGTCCCTCAACATGCGTTCAACCCTGTTACCCAAACCTTTTTAGATTGGCACAGGAAGTGAACAAACTGTAAGTCAGATGACACACAGGAAGTGACATCATCAAGCCATGTGCTAGTGCCATGGGTAGACCACAACTAAGTCCTCTTTTATTTTTCATATTTTTACAATCTTTTCAGTCTTAAAAGAGTGTGGCACTCTGACCACTCAACCCTGTTACTCATATTATCAGAATAAAGCATATTCATTTCAAAGATATCTTTCTTGCATTAGATAAAGTGTGTCCTTGCCTTGAAAGTAGCATTACATGCTACATCTAGTAATACTTCCTGAGGTTAAAGCTCAAATTAGCATTGATTTTCAACCCTGTTACTTTAATTAGAGTAACGGGTAACTCTTCATTGGAAAATATTAATTTGTTGCCTAGCTGGGCAAATCACTTTTTTTGATGGTTTATTATCTGTTTTTCCTAAATACATAAAACAATTATAAAATAAAAGGTTCATTTTTCAAAAATGTTGGAATGACCCACACATTTTGAACACGATATATTTCAAATTGATTCATAGTAAACTCATTTATTATTATATTTCAAATTTTTAAATTGGCCAGTCACTTTATTATACCTTTGGGTTAGGATTAGGTTTTTTTACAGTTTAAACTATAATTTATTTAAATAGAAAAAGTTATAACGCTATAAAATGACGCTTTGATTAATTCTTTAAAAAAATAATAAAAAAATGTTTTAAATGTTACTTAAATCACCTTTTCTTTATTTTCTTTATTACATTTGATAAGGTTAATTATTTTTAATTTATTTATTGGTGAAACTTTAAAAGAATATTAATCTAATTCTTTTTTTTTTATTTGACAAAATTGAATTTCAAGTTTTTTCAACCCTATTTCATTTATTTGTTTTTATTATCATAATTCTTTATATGTATACAATTATTTTTTATTTGTATAATTATTTTCTGAAATGTGGGAATATTTTTATTTAATTGTATATTAAACGTGTATTCAACTTATATATATCTTATATATGCTTAATGCGTTATCATGATTATTATTTTGGTCAGGCCATGACAATTGATTTGAATGTATTATGTTAAAGGTGGGCTATGTAATTCACTTCAGAAACACTTATATTCCATGGAATGCTCTAAACGTCCCGATAGCAATGAATAAATGAAATGCTTTGACCAAAAATCCATAAAACATATCATCTCTGGAAGCCGTGGCGCTGTAGAAAGCTCGACCAATCATCTGAGCCGGCTAAAGTAACTGGATGGCCTACCTGCCTGTCAGCCTTCCATCGGGGCACAGACTGATCTCTGCCCTCATTGGTCATGTGCGCGTTCGTGTGTGTTGGAGGAGGGGCTCTGTGAGGAAGTGGCAGATTTTTTCCGGTTGTGTATTTTCAAATTCTAGCCACTCGAGCTGGGCCCTTTCTCATTTCTCTAACTCCCCTCCTCGACTCCCCTCCTCGACTCCTATCCTCGACTCCTATCCTCGAGACTTAGTCCCGCCCACAGGAGATGCGAGCGGAGGAGTCGAGGAGGGGAGTCGAGGAGGGGAGTCGAGGAGGGGAGTCGAGGAGGGGAGTTAGAGAAATGAGAACTCTTCTCCTCTGAGCGGTCATTTTAAAGAGACGTCCATTAATGATGACAGGAGGCAGCAGCCCTCTGTCTGATGGACAGATGTGTTCATGACCACTTCTATATTTACTTTGATTCATTCACAGTGCGGTATACACACACACACACACACACACACACACACACACACACACACACACACACATATATATTTATATAAATATATATGTATTTAGTCTTGTCTCTTCCTGTGTTCCCCTGTCGGTTCATTGTTTGTGTGTCCTCCCTTCACGTCACGCTTCTTGTTAGTCTCCCCTGTCTCCCTCCTTGTTGCTCACGGTCAGTGTTGTGTGTTTGTGCTACCTGTGTCTTTCATGCCATGTTTGTGTGTTTTTTCAGCTTTTAAATAAAGCTCGCTTTTGTTTATAACCTTTACCTTTTTGTAGTCTGCATTTGGGTCCTACCTTTTTCCACGACTCCTAACAGAAAGCGCTATTCTAGAAACTCAAAGACACTTTCCACAGTAAAAAGAAACCATGAAAACAACGCACTTACGATATATAAAACACAACATTAATTACAGATCTGAAGAGGTGAGCTTTGATTTGAAAATGCAACTGAGATAGGTCTGCGTCCATTCGTTGTCTGGATAGGAAGTTAAATAATCGATTTGAAGTCGGTGAGATATTTCAGAAAAGCCGACATCGCCATCCCTCGAGCGACGTCTGAAGAGAAAGAGGAGTATGAATGATTGATCTGCTCATGTGAGAAGCCTTTCAATCAGAGCGATGGACGACGAGATCTGTCTGCAATAAACGTGATCCCGTCCATCGCACCACAGCGAGGACACACACCGTAACCGCTTCACAGCCTGCAGAGTGAACAGGCTGCTTCTGCACAGAAAGACACACACAGATATCTTCATTTATATTCAGAGGAAGGCGTCGGCTTGATGGGATGCATTGTGTTTCTCTGTGTGATATATGAGGTGTAATGTGAGGCTGCAGGCACTTTGGAGACGGATTGCATCAAATATGAGCAGTTTCATAACACAGGGAAGAAGGAGAGACATTACTGCAGAATATCTCGACTGCAGGTAGCTCTTTCTCTGCAGAGGATATTATTTAAAGATTTATTTGCAGCTTTGAAGACGTGTTTGTGGCACAAAATAGGACCAAATGTATGTTGCATGAAGTGTTACAGGGATGTTATCAGGACCCAAACACCGAACAAGGAGAAGAGATACAAAAGCTGTTCCAACTCAAACTTGGTTCTTGGGTTATCTGTCGCCACTTTTTTAGTTTTTGGCAGACTCTCTAAATAACCCATCGCCGCAAAATAGGATTAATGTTTGAAAAGTTCCTGTGGAGGAGCAAGCTGCCCGGTAGAGTCGACCCAATTATTAAAAAGTGGCGACAGATAACCCACAAGTACCAAAGCTTGAAAACGATGCAAGCAGGCAAACGACATCAAACGATAAGTAGCAAACAAAAGTCAAACAAAGCAGGAAGACTCGGAGGACACAGGAGGACACAGGAGGACACAGGAGGACAGAACAGGGACATCAAGGACACCGAGAACTAAACTATGGGGAACAAAGACGACGAACTGAAACACAAGGGGAAGCAAGACTGAATACACAAGAATCATCACAAATCAAGACGTGTCAAGGATGCTTGCTGCACATGTCTTCCGAGTCACTTGCTTCAGGAGCGAGGCAAGAATCCTAGCCTCGCAAAACAAAGAATGGTGGAACAGGCTAACAGGTGTGTGTCCTATGCGAGGCCCCGCCTTAAATGGAGCGCGATTTCGGCCAAAGATTTGGGGAAATTGGTCCGTCCGCAAAGCATTGTGGGGATTTTAAGACCACAGAGTCTACACATGTGCAGCCTGGAAATTCCCCGCGACGAAGTACGCCGGCCCTCGGTAGAATTCCAAGGAGCCTGGACATTGGAACGGTCCTTCGGCGGCACTCGATGCTTGAAATAGTGGCTCTGGAGCATCCTTCCTCGACATTGAGAAACACCCAGACAATCAGACAGGAGGGAAAACACAGAGACAGGAAGCAATGCAGACAGGAGGTGAACACCTTTCAAAGTAAAACAGGAAACCGACAGACTGTGACTATTCAAAATAAAAGGGGAAAGACAGATCGGGCTGCAGAGCATGTGGGCACGATGTGAAAGAACACTAAATAAATGAAAGTAAAAGGTAGAATTCAGACAAACTAATACAAGACTTTCACCCAGAAGAAAGCTGTTTGTGTCCGGTGTGAAACTGAATATCGATTATTTTAAGTACCATAATAAACCTGCCTCGTGCAACTCAGACGCTTTTAATCCGGATGACGAAAGGAACATTTGAAGGGATGCCATGTCATTTAGTTTCCAATTAAAGGTCCTTAATATAGAGGCTTTTCAACGGCTCGTGTTGACTCCCTGCTCTGCTTTAACCCCCGCAGTACAGACATTCACAAATACACATCCGAGGGGTTTCCAACATTTGCTGATGAAGATTTCACTTCACAATCTCAGGGATGTCCGTGCAATGTGTGGAAATAGTGTGACGCCAGTCAGACATATTGAGGTCTGTGTTTTGGAGGTTACTATCTACTATCAACACATGATTAGAGGTGTGAGCAGGAGAGGCTAATGTTTCAATGTCTCCTGTGCAAAACAGCAGGAATAAAAGTGATGAAAGCAGAGTCATTTCCCCCGTTATCATCTAGAGCAGGGGGGGGGGGGCAAACTCAAACACACAGAGGGCCAACATTAAAGAATGGGTGCTAGTGGAGGGCCGGACTGGTT